CCCCAAAACCCCAAAACCCCAAAACCCCAAAACCCCGAAATACTTTCAAAAATTAATGCTCCATAATAATTTATAATATGTCATTCCTGAGTGGTAAACTTTCGTCTCTAGTCAAACAAACGAGGGCAAAATCATTGTTACAATGCTCTAAGAGGTAGATTTAGGCATAACTTCTAGGTCAATGTGCAACGCTGAAATCCCTAAAGTTTTTAACAGAGATCTTCATAAATAAATACAAACAAAATTGTGATGGAATAGAATCCCCATCCACATATCAAAGACTCTATGATTTCGGCATGCTTGATCTAGCAGGTCGGCTTAAAGGCATGAAAAGAAACGCTACATTTGAGAATATTGCTTTCGTTGGAAGAAACCCTCACATATTTATCAGACATCTCGAAAAGGATGATTTGATTAGAAATTTATATATCTGAGATACTACAGAAGAAAGCGTTGACAGAAGCTTCACAAAAATTAATGAAATGATAAATGAAGGTAAGCTGATTATTAACCTTCCTAGGTTTCTTTGAGAAATCCAAAATTCATCAACCTGCTAATATTGAAGGAAAAGTCATTGATGAAGAGAATAGCTGGGGTTTTGAACCAGAAAGCTTGTGCTTGATAATCAATAATATGACACTTCACTGGGTCAATGATATTAAGAAAGCATTTGATAATTTTCATACTTCTTTAAAGCCAAATGGAGCTTATCTAGGAACTCTCTTTGGTGGAGATACTCTTCAAGAGCTTAGAATATCATTCAACCTTGCTGAAGGAGAAAGAGAAGGTGGGTGTGATTAAGTAAAATTATAGGTGGGTATGGCACGACAGTTTCCCCTATGATGAGCCTTACAGATATTGGAAATTCTTTTTCATATGTAGGATTTAATCTTCCAACGATCGACAGAAGTCAAACCTTAGCTGAATTCCCTACAATGTTTCATCTGATTGATTACTTGAGATCTAATGGAGATCAAAATTGAGATATGGTAAGAAGGCAAGCTAAAAGCCCTGAAAGCTTCTTGGCTGCAGCTTCAATATATCAAACTCTATTCAACAAACTGACTATTCCGACTGACCAAGAAACGATGATGTTTGATGAGTGCTTAAATGACCTTGACTTCCTAAGGCAAGATGGGGATGATTTTGGAAGAATCCCATACAACAAGATTAGAGAGAAATATAACTTCCCAGAAAATTTGAATATTCTCTCAACTTTTGAGATAATCTACCTCGTAGGCTGGAAATACCACAAGGACCAACAAAAGGCTAAGAGCCCTAAGATGTCTCACATGTCTTTCAGAGATATCGTTGATGAGATCGAGATGAAAGAAGAAGGAGCTTATGTTAAATACGGCACACTCACAGAAGAAATGACAAATGAAGAGATCGACAAGGTAGCAAAAGTACTTAAGAATCTGCCAAAGAAGTAATTACTCCCATTAGGATATTTAAAATGGGGTTTTGGGGTTTTGGGGTTTTGGGG